GGCACATCATCCTCACCATGCTCTTTAAGATTCCTTCTAATCTCTCACAAAATCCATTACATCTGGGTTTGTATGGAATTGTAACAAGTTGCCTAGTGCTGATGATTCTGCACACCTGAGGTAAACTGGGTCCCTCTGTCACTCAAGACTTCTTTTGGAAGCTTATTTGTAGAACACTTCCAGGAAGGCTTCTTTTGCTCCCTCTATCTTTGACAATGCTATACCAGTTGTTCTTGTTGGATACAGGAGATAGTGGTCCAATCAAGTCTACAGTTACTGTGTTGGATGACTCTTCTATGAGAGGCATTTCACCCAATGGCACCCTGGATACCTTCTCGCTAGATATTGTCCTTTGGCAGATGTCCTGCAGAATCTGGTCACATCTCCAATGACCCCTGGAAGTTGCTGGTGATTCTGTCTGCCATCTTCTTAGCTTCTAGGTGTCCCCACACAATCGATTTGTGAGCCAGTATCATCACCTGAGTCTGGTATTTTGCTGGTACTATGATCTGTTTAACTTCCCCAGTAGAACTGCCTTGATAGACCTGGTATAGCAGTTCTTTCCAATCCTCTTCCCTTTAGACTTGTATTTGCACTCTCCCAAAGTGTCTGCAATGAAGGGTCTTTCCTCTGTGCTTTCTTCTCACTCCCCCATCAATCAGCACACACAGATGTATCTTTCCCATTATGTGGTCATCAGATACTAGGCTGGTTATCACTGCTGCTCCCAGTGTCTCATAGGACTTTCACTTTCTTTTCCCTGAGAAAGTTTTCACCTATTGGTATGTTGGGGTTTGTTGGCACCACTTGATGTTTGTCATTTGCTCCAATCACCACTGGCACTGTTGACCCAGTTGCTAACGTGAGCTGACCATCAATCATGCACTGTTTAATCATGGTGATTGCACCTCCTTCTCGTGGTGAATCTAAGGAGTTGTCTCTATTTTGTTTCTTATAATAGCTACATCCATGGTGACGGTCACTCTTTTGTTTCTTACCAGCACCATAATTGTAGGTAGCTCCAGCTACTTTATATTGAGATTCCTGCTGTTGCTTTATTCATGACAGACTTGCACTTACTCACAATGTGCCTTATTTTATAACAAGCATAGCATTTCTTCTTCTTTTTATCTGTTAACCTCTTGTCAACTTTGGCATTGTGCTTCTGGTCAGCCACCCCTGGTTTCAACTTTTACTGGTTATACTCGGACTTTCCAGTTATACTTCCTCCATGGGATTCTATATACCATTCTATCAGCTTGATCACTTCTTCCGTGTCTTTTGGTATTCTCTCCTTTAGGAACAGTGACATCTCAGTAGAGCACGTGATCATTAACTGTTCATGTATAAATAGATCTGCCAGTCCTTGTGAAGTATCTGTAGATGTGCCACAAACTGAAATACAGTTTCTCCAGTGTCGGGTTTGACTTTTCTTAACTTTTGGCAAAAACCTTTCTTGGTAAGTTGATAGTGTTTCAGCAAGGCCACATTTAATTTGTCATAGTCCATGGCATTTTATGGTGCCATGCCCACATACACTTGTATGCCTTTTCCTGTGAGAATGTGGCTGAGACAGACTATCCAGTTATGACTTTGAGTGAACCTTTCATACATCTCTAGGAAAGTATTCATGTTATCTTTCTGTTCATCAAATTTAGGCAGCTTCGATCAGCTGGCCCTGACCCCATTGTCATTCTTGGGTCCTTTATTTTTTTGTTGGGTATGCTTAGTGATCTCAATTTGTACTCTTATTTTTTCTATTTTCAATATCTCAATTTCTTTTTCTTATTTTGTGCTCTTATTCTCTATATATATTTCTAGTCTCTTCTTCCTCAGTTTGTGCTCTTATTTTCTCTGTTTCCAGTCTCTCCTTTCTTCTTGTTTAACAGACTCTCATAGATAGACATCTTTGAGCCCAAATCGCTTGTCCCTCTCCATCCACTTATTCAAAGTCAGTTGACATGGTTGTAATATCTATAATGTTTTCAACATCCCCACAGCCATGCATATGTAAGCCTATTTTCGCTGTCATCCATGTCTTCTTTTACTGCCATTTACCACTGTATAATCCTGGCTGGCTTTCCATTGTCAGCTTTTTATAGGTATATGTGGGCAGGATTCTTTACATTAGGTGTCTCTGATTTGTTGGTGATAAATTTCAACAATAAACAAATAGCATGCAGTCCACTTTTTTAAAATAACATATTCAAAACAAGTCATATGTATATACAAATGTTTGTTACACTGTTAATCACCACTGTTGTATTCAGAGCTTTAACTAATCATCTCTTTTTATCAAAGTCCACACAGGCTGGTTCAGTTACCTTAGAACACAGTTGACAAAACAAATTATTCTTTGCTTTGATGTTACAATACAATTTGTGATAATTTCACTTACATTACACTCTTGGTTACCATAGTGGTATCCAAAGCTTTAAAGAATCATCTCTCTTTACCTCAAAAGTCCACACAGGATTTTTTAGTTGCTTTAGAACACAATTGACAAGATAAATTATTCTTCTCTCCTCTGTTGTTACAGTACAATCTGTGATAATTTCACTTTAAAAAAAGCACCACTATACGCTCTGTACAGTTAAACTTACAAACACATAGTCTAGATCTAGTTGACTATATGTCTAAACTAATTTTGTCTTACTTTGTATATAAGTAACCCTAACTACATTTTGTAAATGTATTTATAGCCTGACTGATGCCTAGAACTTTTCACATGCTACAATATATTATGATGTAATAATACTCAATCAGAACAAGTAGAAACTTAGTAGGTTGTAGTAACACGATGCAATAATACAAACAATAAATCAGAACAATGAAACTACAGAATGTATGATTCATACACAGTTATGTAAACAAACTTGTGATAAACAGTAGCTTCTAAACAACTAAATTTAACACTTGCATTAAACTTAAACAGTCATGTGTATATATAGCAATCATCAGAACATAAGTAGTGAGAGAAAGAAAAAAACAAGAAAGGTGTATAGTTGGAATAGTTTAGAATCCTTACATCTAGAAACTTGCAAGTTATTTAAAAGTATTAATAAAACATGACCAGTATACATTACTATATCAATCTTGTATAATAATTTACAATAGTGATCATTATAAGATGTGACAATCACATGGAAAAGAGAAAAGTGCATGATATTAATTTTAATAATGATTTGAGCATAGTACTGTAATATCTTGTAATGTAGTACCTGCTGTGTTATTGTTTTTGCCATTCACCACATTAATGTCACTTGACCATTTTATGTGAATTGTCTTTGTGTTATATGTTATGTATTAAACAAAGAGTTCTTAGGAATGAACAAAATCTTTCTATGGAGTCAGTTGGGGCTGGTTTTGATGATCAAGTGCCCAAACAAGGAGTGTCATCATGCTAGGAGGAATTGTTTGGATCACTTCCCCATGTTGTTATGGAGGATTTAAACAATAGCTCACCAGATCTTGCCATGACTTCATGATGGTGAAAGTAGATGTAGTATTTAAGAAACCCTTTGATCAATATATAGAAACTGCAAGTATACTAATTTTACAAAGAAACAGACATGAAAATTTTTATAAAGAAAGAACTGTAAAAATTAGTATTGTTTATGGTTGTGTTATCCACCCCTAAAACATGGAAGGTATATAACATTAGCTAGACAAGCCATTCTTCGTTTCAAATATAGGAGTATACATCAGTAGAGATCAAATGAATGCACATATTCAGAAGTGTGAAAGTGCACATAATAATCCCTAGTTCTATGAGACAAAATTTCTAGTTTTCTAACAAAAAATTAAAGAATATGAGAAGGAAGATTGTAAAAAGGAATATCTGATGAGTTAACTTTGTGAGCTGCCTCACTGCATAATAATACTAAGAAATATGTACACAAGACCAAAACATTGCCATAATATCCTTAATTTAAAGATGTGGCCCAACAAAGCTATAAAATTTGTGAAAACACAAAAACTATCCAGAATTCAATATGCTCTATCTTCATATATTTTACAGAGGGTCTGAACGTTAGAAAAATAAGTTCCCCACATGGTATCACGCCATTTTTAGTGCCGGCAAATAATTATGTTTTTAAAACAAAACAATTCCTAGTACAGTGACTCTATTTTCAAAAATTACAGTGAACTAATAAAGTAATTGAATATGTTGCTGGAAAAACAGAATAATAAAGTAATTGAATAATTTGCTTGGAAATAAAGGCTATCATTATATAGCAAATACCTACGCTATTATTTGTTTGCATGGGTACAAATTTTATGACCTAACTTTCATGTTAGGTTTTTCGACATGATGATGGTTGCTTTTATGATATTCTAATAATCTAATTATTATACATGCAGAAAACCTGAAAATGAAATTATTAAATGCTACATCCCTTTGCTGTTAGCAAAATACACTGGCAGTCATTTACTACAGCAGTAAAATGTCTTAGAACTGAACCACACTAATCTCATAATACAGGGGAGCGAAACAAGCTTTTAAGTGCATTTAATGTTTATATAAGACAAACCACTATAGAGGCTAACAATTTTACAAAGTAATGATTGGGAAGTTTCTATTGAGACAAGGATTGATACTTTTGATGGTAGCCATTCATTGAGCACAAAGTGCATGCAACCTTGGCTCGGTTGACTATACCTTGTACTTCAGAAAATGAGGTCTATATCAGTAAGGAACACTTAGTGTGTGTGTGTGTGTTTATGTATATATTGTATATATATATATATATATAAACAAACAAACATAATCTAAAGCATAACATAACTTGCAGATATTTGGCTAATAAAGGAAAAATTTAAAAAGTGAGTTTGAGGATGAATTTGTTTTGAGAAGTTAGACTAAAATAAGAGTGAAGCATTTTACATGGAACTTGATCAAAGTAAAACAGAAGAAAACTTAGTCAAAAGAAAATGTGCATATAAAGATGACTTGCCAAGACTTGTGAATGCACCAGAGTCAAAATGTTATAATAACCCTAATACAGAGGTTGAACAAGGCTTTAGAACCCTTGTCATTGGAACTGCATTAGTTTGAAATAAAAAGTGTTCCCTCCTTACTTTGAGATGATAATGTATATTTCCCAAGAAATGATAAGAATACTGCTGTAGTAATGAATACTGATCTTAGCTCCCAAGAATGATCAGCACCACCATTCTTTCACAATAAATACACGAAAAGCTACCAACATACAAAGATAAGCTTTGAAGTATTTCAATGGTTCTATAGCAAACCATGCTGGTACAAACAACCCATTCTAAAATTATGGATTTTTAAAAAGTGAACCACTGTTTCTGTTCATAACATTAAGAAAAAACAATAAACAAAAGTGGTCATACTGTACTTCAATGAAATTGGATATACATTGCTGAAATGTCATGTTCACTTTTGCAATAGTATCACAATATATCTTGATGTGTCTATTTTAACCAGAATTCCAAAACTATTATTAATCAGTTGTGTGAACTTGTGCAGTTAGGAATCTAAATTTACAGTTAAACACACATGCAGATTAAAGTAATAAACTAAATGACTATATTAATTACATTATCTAGATAAATGGCTGGGAGAGGTGAAAAGTTACCAGTCTTACTCATGCATGTACCAAGAAAATAAGGATGCTCAAACATGTTTAATGCAGTAACTCATATACATTGCTGAATGAACAAGTTGTTTATCACAGAGTTGTAAAATATTGTAAACATGTGACATCCTCATATGCTGAGCTTCAGATTATAAATGATTAACTGAGAGTTAGGTAATGGCTGATTAATAACTTATTAAAGCAACATCTGTAGAACAGCTCTCCAAGTTTAGGCCATACCATGTAGTTTGTAGTTTATCATATCAGTGCATGATATTAATATTGATAATGAGTTGAGCATAGTATTGTAATACCTTGTAATGTAGTACCTGCGGTGTTATTGTATTTGCCACTCAGCACATTAATGTCATTTAGTTCATTCTGAAGTTACAAGTTGAATTACAGTTTTAACTGTAATCAAAACAAGATTTATCCAATGAAAATGAGATACACAGTAACCAAAATTTTATCTTACCCACCAAGACTAACAGAAGAGTTTAATATCCTGTTACAAGTAATATACTACAATGAAACTCTCTAGTTGAAGTTTTATCCTTCCTCTAATACAGTCAGCTAAAAATAATGATGATGTTCTTTGGGTGTTAGCACTTGCTGATCAAGGAACAAAAATGATAAGATCAGAAATAGGGAATTATTCCAGTTACCTAATTTGTGTTCAAAAAATATGAAAATACTATGTGACAGAGGGTCATTCAGCCCTTGAGGGTCACCCAACAATGAAACCAGCCCAATCTATCCCTTTCATAAAATTATTCAACGAACATGAATTATCAAGTTCAAATTACATCTATTATCATAATACACCACATCTGATAAACTATTCCACAAGTTAACTGGGAAATAATTTTACTTATAAGAACAAACATGGATCTCAGTTTCTTTAACTTATACTTATTTACTCTGACAATGTGGATTTCATCTCAAACTTATCTGTCTGGCAGTCCAATGCATTTGTGGTATTATCATTTAACTTATTTCTCAACAGATATCACATAGATCTACAGATAATAGCAGATTTGCCTAAGAATTAAGAGGGATTCCTGTGTTAGACAATTGGACTGAGCTATTTTTACATGTGCCACCCACTGGCTCCTTGGATTTGGGTTTTGACACCTGAGGTGAGCAGAGCACAGATAACTCATTGTGAAGCTTTGTGCTAAATAATAAACAAATCTTAAACATGTAGAATAAAATGTCTTGACAAGTTTGAAAAAGTGAAAAAAGTCTTTACTGTACAAATAAAATAGTGTGTGTTCCTATGCAGATGTTGGGATGGTCTTTTCTATTAGAGGATGTTTAACCCTGCAGCCTTCCTTCTCTCAGTATTCATTTCTGAGGTACTTAACATGCTGATCCCCAAAAAGCAAGTCCTTTTCATCAGTCATCTAGAACTGAACCAAGAAAAGTGTGCTTGAACTTAGTATGAAAAACTCGCTTTATTTGTCCAGTGAACAGCATTACCTTATTACCTTTTTTCATTGACAGCACTGTTTGGCCATCTCTTTTAGTCAACATTATAGTCAGTCAGCATGGGACATCGTAGTGATAATCTATCTAAATTAAATGCTCAATACAATACTGAGATATCTTTGCAGGCAGAGAAGACACCATCTACTAAAGAGAACAAGGTAATGTTAACAACTTCATGAACCATGTGTTGCTGACATGACAACACAGAAAATAAGTTGTGAAAAAATTTTTATTTTTAACTTTTATGTCACTACAGAAGGTATAAAACCCATGCTTGCTTATTACACTTTCCTCCCTTCTCTCTCTCTCGCAATTCAACAATTAAAATAAACTTTAAAACTAATCCTTTTTAACTCATGGCATGGTCCAAAAACATGTTAACTTTAATTTATTCCTAAAAACATGGACAGCACAAATCCTTTTACAAGGAATTGTGACTATAAAGGCATAAATATTCATTTTTCTTCGATTCAGATGGAAAAATGAAGCTCTTCAACATTGCCTTACAATAATAAAAGAAAACTAATTTTGGTTTGCATTGAATATCACCACAACTCCAATTTAAGAAAACCTTTAGCAAATTTGAAAGTAGGATCTTTTAACCTTAATCTAGATATTCTAGGTATATTAACACATAAATCAATATATTCTGTGACCATTCTTGTGAACAGATATAAAATAAGTTAAGTGCTTCAACATTAAACCAAAAAATTAAACATAATAGAATCTTGAGAAAGTGTTAAACATAAAATGATTTTGATAAGAGATTTAGACCTGGGTTACACGGAAGTGAATTTTTGGAAATTATTCTGTAAATGGCACTGTACAAATGCAAATTATACATGTACAGGTGCTTGTATAAACATGAAATTTCCTGTTTTTCTTCTGGTCTCCTGATGATGGTGGAATTTTTTCCACTTAAAAAATGTAGTTTTTACTGTATATGCTTTTAACATTATAAAATAAATTATTGTGCATTTTTTAAACCATTGAAGTTCTTACTTATTTTATGAACATATATACCCTTGAATTGAAACCCTTCATTTTCCATGGTGATAAACACTTTAAATGCAAAATTATGCATTAACCAAGACAGAAATACTTATAACAATGAAAGAAAAAAACATCATAACTTTTAAAATCATGAACACAAAAATACCCTTTAATGATAAAAAAATGATATGCATATGTATAATCATGCACTCATAAATAAGTAAAACTACATAGGAAATGTAAAGAAAAATGAAATGCAGAGATACCTTGTCCACTTTAAAGAGTGGGCAGTCTGACACAAAACTAAATCACTAGAAGTAAAAAAAAAAGGGTGAAAAAATAATAATTGTGATTCAAAGTTACTATAATGCGTAAACGAAATTAAAATATAACTAACCATTTTTTAGTTTGCATGCACTTGTAGATGAGAAAGTAGTGGCATATCAAATTCACAACACACTATACATTAACCCATGAAACAACTTGGATTTCCTGCTCACATATTTGAAAGAGAGTAAGGGCATTATCATTGTACAGAATATGCACAAAAGTCTACCATATAGATGTGCACAAAAAAATTGCTAGGACCCTTTTTTCCACATGCACTCATAAAGTGTGGAACAGGGTACTCCTATTTAAATAAAAAAAGGGGGATAGAGAATATACACAACAAGTCATATAAATCAAATTCATGTAATTAAAATGTGCACTTACCCCCAAAATGTAGTTGAGGCCTCATTGTGCTCACCTTGGCCATACCAGGAAAGCTTCCATTATCAACATTATCTCTTCATTGGCAGCCGTGGATTTCCTTTGGTCTATTCAGACTTTTGCCAAAGTTCATTTTGGCTGTGGCTACCCTGTTCCAAGAGTGCTACATTTCCTCCTCCTATCCTGATTGATCTTCTTCCAGGTTGTAGAGGGACCTAGCCAGATTTGTAATAATTTTTAGTGGCCTTTATTAGGAGTCCCCCCCTTGACCTCATTTGGGTTGTCACTCACCATACCAGTATATGTCCTAAAAGATCATTCTGGTGGCCCATCCTCAAAGTAAAAGCTCCTTTGTTGATGGCAAGAACTGTTTGATGAGCTGACTGGCTTTTCTGTGAAGGTATCATTCTGAATCTGATTGCCAACTTCGAAGTCTTGCAAAGGCCCACCCTGCCTTTGTCTATCCAGGACTTGACATCCCATGAGATAAACCTAATGCTGGAAAGCTATGTTTTGACTTTGAGATGTACTTATCCCTTTAAAGGTGTAAATACATCTACTAAAGCCCCATAATATTGTGCCACACATTGATAGGACAGGTCACTAGGCCTCTCTTTTCTTCAGTTCTTCACTTCTGTGAGCAGTATCAGTAATGGTATAGACTCCTGTTGCTGGCACCTCCAGATGTGATGGTGTTGACTCCATTGATCTAACTAACAGAAATGCCACCCTATGGGCAGCTATTTGTGCTAGGATTACTAATTGTAGTATTCATACCTTACTTGAGAAAAAGTGAACATTTTCTAAAAAAGGATTTTTTTCTGGGAAGTACTGCACAGGAAAGTGTTCAAATTGTACTCTTTAGTCATACGCAACTCATTGCATCAAAATGATTCAATGTACAGAGCTTAAAATTTACTTAAAATTTTATTGATATAAACTGTGCTGTTTTTACATATTAAAGGTGGTACCGTTTATTGAAAAAATATTGGTCTTTTAGGAACTCTAGTTTCTCAGTACCACATTTAAAGATTACGTCAATAAAGGTATAGTCAAACCCTCATGTACAGTCCTATTAAAAGTTGTGTTCTTGTTGTGAAGAGAGTACTTTTATTTAAAATTGTGTTCTATTATAAAGAAATGGATGTTGCGTATGCCACAGTTATTTGTCTAATTGTACGAATCTTGAATACCCAAAATGTGAAATTTA